TCCCCTCGCCCACCAAACCTTCTTTACCCCCCCTCTACCAACCTTTTCGAGGACAACCCCTTCCCCGCCTTCCTTCCCCTACAGAGTTATACTCTCTCCAAGCCATTCTACTTAGTTCCATTCTCTCTAAACGACCAAACCACCTCAACCCCTCTTTAGCCCTCTGACTAATACTTTTAGTAACTCCACACTACAAATTCTCTGTGCAATATTTACACCATATATTGCCCTTAGATACAACATCTCCACTGCCTCCAGCATCCTCCTCACTGCAGCACTTACAACCCATGCTTCACACCCATATAAGAGTGTTGGTACCACTATATTCTCATACATTACCTTCTTTGCCTCCATGGATAACGTTTTTTTGTCTCCATAGATACCTCAACACCACTCGCCTTTTTTCCTTCAATTCTATGGTTAACCTCATCCTTCAAAAACCCATCCACTGACAAGTCAACTCCCAAATATCTGAAAACTTTCACTTCTTCCATACTCCCTCCTTCCAATGTGATATCCAATTTTTCTTTAAGTTGTTTGATACCCTCATCACGTTACTCTTACCCATTGTGATGAATGGTTTGAAAAACCGACAAGTTGAAGATTGAGACACTTATGCAGCATATGGAAATCTTTATTCAGGAAATGTTTCGCCACACAGTGGCTTCATCAGTCCAATACAAAGTGGAAGGCGTAAGGAGAGGAGGAGTATGAGGTAATCAGTCCTTCAACCTAGAGTCAATGTGTTCAGTCCATCAATCTTGTAGAATGTACCATCTTGTACATTCTACAAGATTGATGGACTGAACACATTGACTCCAGGTTGAGGGACTGATTACCTCATACTCCTCCTCTCCTTACGCCTTCCTCTTTGTATTGGACTGATGAAGCCACTGTGTGGCGAAACATTTCCTGAATAAAGATTTCCATATGCTGCATAAGTGTCTCAATCTTCAACTCTTACCCATGTTCACTTTTGACTTTCTACCTTTACACACCCTCCTAAACTTGTCCTCTAACCTGTGCAACACAGTATCAACACCCTAGCATTTACTTCTACAACCCCATCTATAAATATGTTCAACAACCATGGTGACATTACACATCCCTGTCTAAGACCTACTTTTACTGGGAAGTAATCTCACTCTCTCCTACACACCCTAACCTGAACTTCACTATCATAAAAATACACAAATAACCCGCACATAAAAGAGAAGCTTGTGACGACGTTTCGGTCCGACTTGGACCATTTACAAAGTCACACTAACCAGAAGTGGAGCAGGACGGCTATATGTAGGCAGGAAGAGGTAGTAATAGTAGTAATAGTAATAGTAATAGTAATAATAGTAATAATAGTAATAGTAGTAATAGTAGTAATAGTAATAATAGTAATAATAGTACAAGAATGGTATATAATACCGACAAGATGAAATCGCGACACATGCGCAACACCCGGGCATCACCATTGTAGACGTTTCGCCATCCAGTGGCTGGCTGGCGAAACGTCCACAACAAAGACAACCAGACGCCACGCATGTGTCTTAATTTCATCATTAGTAGGTAGTAGTAGTAGTAGTTGTTAGTAGTAGTAGTAGTAGTAGTAGTAGTAGTAGGTAGTAGTAGTAGTAGGTAGTAGTAGTAGTAGTAGTAGGTAGGGAGTAGTAGTAGATAGTAGTAGTTAGTAGTAGTAGTAGTAGTAGTAGTAGGGTAGTAGTAGTAGTAGTAGTAAGTAGTAGGGATAGTAGTGTAGTAGTAGTAGTAGGTAGTAGTAGTAGTAGTAGTAGTAGTAGGTAGTAGTAGTAGTAGTAGTAGGTAGTAGTAGTAGGTAGGTAGTAGTAGGTAGTAGGTAGTAGTAGTAGGTAGTAGTAGTAGGTAGTAGTAGTAGGTAGTAGTAGTAGGTAGTAGGTAGTAGTAGTAGTAGTAGTAGTAGGTAGTAGTAGTAGGTAGTAGTAGGTAGTAGTAGTAGTAGGAGTAGTAGTAGGTAGTAGTGGGGAATAAGGACGAGGAGCCAGTCAAATACAAAGGAAGGGGAGCACTGCAAGAGAGCTAGGTGCCCACAAAGGGAGAGAAAGCGCACAGAGGTGCATGAAAGGGGAAGTGGTGAAATAAATGAAGGAACAGAAACACGAGACAGAAGAGAGAAAGACAACCCAGAGGAGAAAAAGGAAAGAGGAAAGGGGAAGAGGGAGAAGAAAAAGAAAGAAAAAATGAGGAGTCAGGTTAAGTCACTGGTGTTCTGAAGTTTGGAGCATTTTACAATGTAGTGGGAGAGGAAGGCATCTACAGAGACGAAGCCAGGGCTAAGATTCATACAAGGAAAGTTGTGTATTAGAGAGGATTCAACTAGATGGCGACTGTTCGAGTTGGAAGTAGGGAAGACAGTTTTGGCAGAAGACCAGTCAATAGGATGGCTATGATCTCTGACATGACAGAAAAGAGCATTGTTAGTGTTGGCAAGCCTAACACTATTTTTGTGCTCCCTAAGTCTGTCAGAGAGATCAACCAGTTTCTCTGAAGTATTGAAGAGGATAGGAGGAGCAAGAAATAGAGTAGATACCAGGAACATCTGTAGAGGGAGGAGAGGTATGAACGAGATTAGTGCGAAGAGTGTTAGTCTGGCGGAAGGTAAGCTTGATGTCTAAGGGACAGAGAATTGCTGAGATTAGAATGACCTGAAATGTAGGGAAGGCAGAGGATAGAAGAGTTCTCAGGAGTAGTGTGTTTGGGAGAGAAGAAATTGCGTTTAGCACGTGAGAGGGCAGAGTCTATGAAATGGGAAGGGTAGCCAAGACGGGAAAACGAATTATGAAGAGCGGAAATTTCTGCTGGAAGGAACCGAGGATCACAGAGGGAGATAAGAACACTTCTTGACAGAGAAGCATGATAGGAAAAGTAGTGAATGTACATGCTACTGTGCATAGGTTTTCGGTAAACGGAAAAGGAAAAACCTGTATCTGAGCGGTGGACATGGACATCAAGGAAAGGAAGCAAGGAATTAGATTCCCATTCAGCTTTAAACTTAACGGAAGGGGCAAGATTATTAAGAGCTTCAAGAAAAGGTTGGAAGAGACTGGAGTCATGAGGCCACAGAGCAAAGATGTCATCCACATAGCGGAGCCAGAGTGAAGGTTGCATATCGAGGGTAGGAAGAACAGTCTCGAAGTATTCCATGTAAAGATTAGCAAGGACAGGAGAGAAAGGAGAGCCCATAGCGACACCGAAGGTTTGAGAATAATATTTCCCTTGGAAGGAAAAGGAATTCGAGTCCACACAGAGGCGGATAAGATCAAGAAAGACATCAGTAGGTATAGGGAGATGTAGAAATCCTTCATGGGCCTTCTCTGAGGAAATCAAGGACATCATCAAGAGGGACATTGGTGAAGAGGGACTCAACGTCAAGACTAAGCATCTTACAGGTTGGAAGAGAGCGAACCCGTTCAATGAAGTCTTGAGAGTGACTGAGGTGGGCAGGAGAAAAAGTACCAAGAAAGGGAGTGAGGGTTTTGGCCAGCCAAGAAGCAAGAGAATAAGAGACAGAACCTCTAGAGGATATGAAAGGAAGAAGAGGAATATCAGGTTTATGAGTTTTGGGAAGGCCATAGAAATAGGGAAGAGAGGGACAGATGACACGAAACCATTGAACAAAGTCAAAGTCAGGAGGACAGAGGTCGGAGAGTCTTTAGTTTCTTGTTGAAAGTTCTCTATGCGATCAAGAGGGTTGGAAACGAGAGGAGTGTAGGTACGCGAGTCAGAGAGCAAGACATCTGCGCGGCATCTGGTTGTCTTTGTTGTGGACGTTTCGCCATCCAGTGGCTGGCTGAATGGCAAAACGTCTACGATGGTGATGCCTGGGTGTTGCGCATGTGTCGCGATTTCATCTTGTCGGTATTATATACCATTCTTGTACTACTACTACCACCACCACCTCTTCCTGCCTATATATAGCCGTCCTGCTCCACTTCTGGTTAGTGTGACTTTGTAAATGGTCCAAGTCGGACCAAAACGTCGTTGTAAGCTTCTCTTATGTGCGGGTTATTTGTGTATCGTTCCAGTCACGGTATTGTGCCTTTTTTTGTTACTCATAAAAATCTTTACAGCATTTAGCAACTTACTACTTACCCCATACACTTGCAACATCTGCCACATTGCTCCCCTATCCACTATCATATGCCTTTTCCAAATCCATAAATGCAATGAAAACTTCCCTACCTTTATCTAAATACTGTTCACGTATATGATTCAATGTGAACACTTGATCTACACATCCCCTACCCATTCTAAAGCCTCCTTGTTCATCTGCAATCCTGCTCTCTGTCTTACTTCCAATTCTTTCAATAACAACCCTATCATACGCTTTACTTGGTATACTTGGCAAACTTCTTCCCCTATTATAATTTTTACAATCTCCTGTCCCCCTTACAAAGACTAACTTCTACCCAAAACACTGGAGTACACTGTGCTTAACAGATCTTGAGTAAATCATCTGTAACAAAGGGTAACCAAGTAAAATCTACTTACAATGCAGAAAACTAGAATTATTTATTTTTAGTGGGATGCCTCCTCCCAATAATACAGGAAAACAAATACTGAATTGATTATACATCCAGAAACTTGAAACGGTGAAAGCTTTGAGAAGAAAATGGCTAAATATTAGGGATGTCTCTAACAGTATTGGTGGGTATCTGTCTAAAATTGAGCACTGGTAAGTATCTGTACTGGTATTGGTGGGTATCTGCTAATTTTGACAGTACTGGCCTAAAATAGATCTGTATCAGTAAACATTTTTGCATCATCCTATCCTAACTAAATATTAACCTTAAAGCAATACAAGATCCACATCAGATTTGTCAAATCAATTAACACTACATTTCTTTTCTGTAAACCTAATAAACAGTCAGACCATCAGTCAGATCTTGATAGAATATTTTTTAAAAATGAAATTACATAATATTAAGCAGGCGATTATGTTTACTTCTGCTAGAGGAAAATGTGTTACTTACTTGTGTGGGATCAACACCAGTTGGGTTATGAGCACAGGCATGGAGGATAATAACAGAGTTTTCTGGGGCTTTAGACAGGTCTTCTATCATGCCATTAATGTCAAGGCCACGTGATTCTGCATCCCAGTACCGATACTGACAAATCTCAGAAAACCCAGCTTGAAGGAAAATCAGACGATGGTTGCCTAGAATAAGGTAGATCAATAAAAAAATAACTCGCAAAAATATAAAAAGTTTATTACACACAAGAGCTTCAGGATAAACCCATCCAAGTCCTTTTAACTTCAAATTTAATTTTGCATAAAGAGTTCATGTTTAAAAAGAAATAATCATGGAGCCAAAAGACAATCTAGATAATGTGAATTTACAGCAGGCATTTTAAACATGCACACCCACAACTACACTTTTTACAATTTGCCCAAGAAGTTTGACAAGTACCAGGGCAACTTTTGAATGGAAGATGGTGCCTCCTTACCTTACTGCCAGACAAAAACTGGTTAAATTTATACTTTTCTGTACTTTAACGACTTTTCTAAAATAATAAATAAAAATACACAAATAACCCGCACATAGAAGAGAGGAGCTTACGACGACGTTTCGGTCCGACTTGGACCACTTACAAAGTCACACTAACAAGAAGTAGAGCAGGAAGGGTATATATAGGCAGGAAGTGGTAGCAGTAGTGGTGGTAGCAGTAGTGGTGGTGGAAGGAAGTAGTGGGGAAGTAAGGAGGAGGAGCCAGTTAAATACTAAGAAAGGGGAGCACTGCAAGGGAGCTAGGTGCCCACAGAGGGTAAGAACAAGAACACAGAGGGGGCGAATAAAAAAATAATGAAGGAACAAAAACACAAGGCAGAAGACAGACAACCCAGAGAAGAAAAAGGGAAGAGGAAAGGGGAAGAGGGAGAAGAAGAAAGAGGAATCAGGTTAAGTCATGGGTGTTCTGAAGTTTGGAGCATTTTACAATGTAGTGGGAAAGGAAGGCATCTACAGAGACGAAGCAAGGACTAAGATTCATACAAGGAAAGTTGTGTACTAAGGAGAATTCAACCAGATGGCAACTGTTAAAGTTGGAAGTAGGGAAGACAGTTTTAGCAGAAGACTAACACACTTCACACTAATCTCATTCATACCTCTTCTCCCTCTACTGATGCTCCTGGTGTCTACTCTAATTCTTGTTCCTCCTGTCTTCAATACTTTGGAGAAACTGGCTGATCTCTTTCTGATAGACTTAGGGAGCACAAAAGTAGTGTTAGGCTTGCCGACACTAACAATGCTCTTTTCTGTCATGTCAGTGATCACAGTCATCCTACTGATCAGTCTTCTGCTAAAACTGTCTTCCCTACTTCCAACTTTAACATCGCCGTCTCATTGAATCCTCCCTAATACACAACTTCCCTTGTATGAATCTTAATCTGACTCTGTAGATGCCTTCCTTTCCCACTACATTGTAAAATGATCCAAACTTCAGAACACCCATGACCTAACCTGATTGCTCCTTTTTCTTCTCCCTCTTCCCCTTTCCTTTTTCTTCTCTGGGTTGTCTTTCTTCTGCCTTGTGTTTTTGTTCCTTCAGTATTTTTTATTATCCCCCCCCCTCTGATCTTCCCCTTACCCTCTGTGGGCACCTAGCTCCCTTGCAGTGCTCCCCTTTCTTAGTATTTGACTGGCGGCGGCTTCTTTTCCTCCTCCTTTTCCTTTTCCTCCTTTTCCTTTTCCTCTTTTCCCTTTTCCTCCTCTTCCTTTTCCTCCTCCTCTCACTAGTGTGACTTTGTAAGTGGTCCAAGTCAGACCGAAACATCATCGTAAGCTCTTCTCTTCCACATGCGGGTTATTTGTGCATCATTCCAGTCATGGTATTGTCTTTTTTGTTATTTAATAAATAAAAATTACAGACAATGCTATTATGAATACAATAACTTCAAGTGAAGGAAGCCTGGAGAGCATATAGACTTGGCCATTAAGAACAAATGCTGTAGGCTCACTATAAAGGCAAAAATTTAATATGAACCCTTTAACATTTAGAGTTTAATCAGCCCAAATATTGGGCTTGGGAATGTTTCTGCAGATTGTGGCAGACCTTTAGACACCTTCATGCTGTTGGAGAGAAATCATTTGCAGAAAATCTTTATGTAGCTGGAATGATCAACAGCTTGCCAGTGTTTTAGGAGTCAGAAATCTGTTCATGCCTTAAAATTTCAGATGAAAGCATCTTTTTTCTAGAGCTTATGATCTTGTTATACTCTTGAGTATATACCTCGGTATTTCTTCCTCATCATGGTTTGGTGTGAAAGCACTTTAATTTCTTGAAAGAACAGGCACTCTTATTGTAGGATGAGATTTGCATCTTTGGAACTCAGTAGAAAGTAGCTGTATGATACTATTCATTATTTTGGGAATATTGCTAAATGTGCTCAAGTACAATTTTATAAAATTTAAAGAACGAGTATCACAACATAACATTACAGTCTCTTACAAAAGACAACACAACTGGAACAATCACAGGGAAAACAAGATGGAGAGAGTGCATGAGAATGGATTCATTCAATAGCTGATCAAAGGCAAGGAAGTTTCAACAGCACACTGTTATTTTGCCATTTTAGTTTAAGAGTTTAACTGGTTTATTATGCACTCCACAACTATCCTCTGGGCTATTTTGCAGACAAATTATGGAATATGCTAACCATTGAGTGCAGGCCTGACCTCCCCTTGTACAGATATCAAAATGTGATACACTCGTGTGCTGAATCTCACCTGACATCACCTTGTTCTTCCTCTATTTCCATTAGAACCTTGCAAAACAAAACTAAATGCACTAAGTCACTCATGCACCGTTACACAAGAAACCTGCACATAAGAGAGGGGAGCTTACGACGTTTTGGTCACACTAACAGAATGGAGAGGAGCCAGTATATATAGGCCAGCTGGCAGGGACGGGACAAGAGAGGTGGAAGGAGCTTACGTTGCCTTAAGCTCCACTGTGTGCAGGTTATTTGTGTATCGTTCCTGTCACAGAATTGTGCCCTTTTGTTCTTTATGTGCCTTTCTTAAGAGAAGCAATCTTTATGCTGCACATTACAAATATATAACAGACTGGGGTTAATATAACATTACTGGACTTGCCAGTAAAAATATTTAAGCAATTTATCTACCTAAATACTAATTTTTTGGGACATGTTATGATGCATAATTCAAATTTCTGATTATTAATTTGCTTAAGCTTATGGGTTGGTCTACCTGTGAACTAACTTAAACAATCCACACAAAGTACTTGCATTTTTAATGTGACAAATAGCAACCTTTGGATTTAACCAGTTGTGTTTAAGCCTTTGAGCATCATTTCCTATCATATTTTTCTAAATATCCAAGAAAATTCATATACAATGGAACCTCGGTATGTGACCTTAATTCATTCCAGAAGGCTGTTCGATTGCTGCTCTGTTAGAGTATAAAACAAGTTCTTCCCAACCAATTTTCTGTTTGGTTGGCTGTTATCACTAATCGTTGTAGGCTCCATGGTGACTTGTACAAATGCAAAAAACACCAAAAAATGTGAAGAAACACAAATAGTTTACAGCGAAGTTCTAGCAGATCATATTTGTTTGGTCGAGTGCTGAGCTTTGTTCAAGTAGGGAGCTGGTCATATACCAAGGTTCCACTGTACACTGTAATGAAAATTAATCACACATTTTATTGCACATCACCAGTGCAGCATTAACCAGGATGACCTGCATATTGCACTGGCAAGGTAAGGTACGAAAATGGATATGGTTTAAAAGTATGGTTAACCTGGACAGAGCATCCTCACTCTTACAGTTACTTTGACACAGAACAGGCTTCCTGTTTCCAACAGGATACATCTTTTATTCAGATCCTACTGAAAATTAAGATAAATTCAGGAAATACAGTACTCTCCTACAACTATGGAAATGATGGAAGAAAACACAGGAATGTCCAGGGCATGAGCAGAAAATTAATGTGCAGTATTTAAGAATAAGCTAATTCCATACATATGCAAAACAATTTTGCACTGTGGTATGATTAACTGCACATCATTATTAATCCAATATACTGTATAATGCCACTAACCCCAAGTTGGTGTAGAGTAGTAAACTGTATTGTATTTCAGGACATGGCCCAGGAAATCAGCTGCTATACGAAGGCCTCCTGTTCCAGACAATGTTTGTACTGCTGTTACCTGTTCAGTTATACCAGAATAAAGTAAAGTTTTCAAAATAATGTGCTTAATTTATAATTTTTTTTTTTTTAACAAGTCGGCCGTCTCCCACCGAGGCAGGGTGACCCAAAAAAGAAAGAAAATCCCCAAAAAGAAAATATGTACTTTCATCATTCAACACTCACCTCACTCGCACAACCTCTGTTTTTGCAGAGGTGCTCATAACACAACAGTTTAGAAACATATATGTATAAAGATATACAACATATCCCTCCAAACTGCTAATATCCCGAAACCCCTCCTTTAGAGTGCAGGCATTGTACTTCCCATTGTACTTCTTAATTTATAAGTAGTCATATATTCATATTTATTTAGTTTATTTGGACATAATACATACAAGGAATTATAGTAGTTGGGTGTATATGCCAAAAGCCCCTTGTATGCAGAGCATTATGGGCAGGCTTAAAATTAACTAAGCAATGATAGGTTCAGTGGTAAAAATTACCGTAAACAATTTACTATATGAAGTACAATTGAGTATTTGGAACAATGAAATTTTAACATTTCGATTTTGAAGCATTATAGTTGTACAAATTTGTTGCATTACAATGTATAACAAACAAGATGATCAATTTACTGTATGTTGTCTTGAAGTTTAAAGATTTAAGTAATTGGGAGATTTATCGGTAATGTTAAATATTGAGTGTTGATTACTTAGTCCTGGGCGAGTAAGTGGTTTTTTTTTTTTTTTTTAGAAGAGTCTTAAACTGACTTTCAGGCCTGGTTACTTTAGTATGTTCTGGTAATGAATTCCAGATTTTGGGGCCCTTTATCTCCATAGTTTTTACAGTGCGATATGGACACAGGGTACATCAAAGAGAGATCTGTGTCTTGTGTTGTGGTCGTGTACTGTTAAGGCTGGTGAGAAGTTTGAGTGGAGGGTTTATGTTTGCATGTATTGTTCTATGTATGTAGTAGGCACATGAATAACTGTGGATGTTCTTTATGGTGAGCAAATTTAGACTTTTGAATAGAAGTGGAGTATGCTGTCGCGAGTGGGAATTTGTTATTCTGATTGCAGCCTTTTGCTGGGTTATTAGAGGCCTTAGATGATTTGATGATGTTGATCCCCATGTACAAATTCCATATGCGAGATAAGGGTAGACAAGTGAATGACACAGTGCAAGGAGAGCCGATTGTGGAACATAGTACCGTATCTCTGATAGTATGCCTACTGTCTTAGAGATTTCCTTGGAAATTTGTTGTATATGTCTGGAATCTGAGGCTACTGTCTAGGTGGATTCCTAGGAATTTTCCCTCTTGAGTCTTGTGATGGGTGATCCATTTACTGTTACATTAAGTGGAACATTTGCAGCTCTGGTCCATCTGTGAAGCTGTCTGAAATGTACTACCATGTAAATTTTCCATACCACGGGCGGGGATAGAACCCGATATCAGTCTCAAAACTCCAGACAGTCGTGTTAGTTTTGAGAGACACTGATCACAGGTTCTATCCCTGCCCGTGGTATGGTTTGTTTGCAATCATGTCATTACAATTTCATGAGTCATGTAAACTTTAATACTGTATATGCCCTTACTGGAATTCAAAATGGGAAGGAACTACTTTGGAAATAGAGTACAATATTGTAACAAGCCAAGATAGTTATGCACTGAATAACAGATTTTTTTTTTTTTTTTAACATGCCAGCCATTTTCCACCAAGGAAAGGTGACCCAATAGAAAGAAAAATTCAAAAAGAAAGAAAAAACTTTCATCATTATTCAACACTTTCACCATCACTCATATATAATCACTCTTTGCAAACACTCAGATACAACGGATTAGAAGTCCCTCCAAACTGCCAATATCCCAAATCACTCCTCTGAAGTGCAGGCACTGTAATTCCCATTTCCAGGACTCAAGTCCAGCTAACTGGTTTCCCTGAATCCCTTCACAAAATATTAACCTGCTCACATTCCAACAGCTCATCTTTGATGGACAGAATTCCTAAACATAAAATGAGTTAAATCTGATATACAACAAGTATTCATCTGTAACAAAACATATGGATACAATACATGGAATATATATCACAGTCCATGTATATCTCAACTTGTTCAAAAACCCCATGAAAATAAAAGACCCTCAATGCCTGAAAATGCCAAAAGTTTCCCCCATCTGCAAACATCTTTATTAATGTTAAAGATCACTTATTAAATCTCACAAATGTAATATCCATTAACTGTCTGTAAAGTCTCGTGTTTTGATTTCACCAACTCAATTCAATCACTCCACAAAATGTACCTACATAAATTCCATGTAATTTATTTGTACTTGACCAATTTATCATTTGCAACCTGTCTCACTGTAGTTATGATTGTAGTGATTTACACAAGTTGTACTGATAATGTCATATGCCATGTCTACATTTTAGTACAAAAGCATTATGATTAGTTTGCCTCAAATGCATTGCTTAATTAGTAACTTTCTTCTGTGCCTACATTATATCAAATTGTGTATCAAATTATGTATATCAACTAATTTCTTTATGGCTGATAAATTTAATTTTAATGTAAAGTACAGTACACTAATTTACCTTTGTTTCCAAACCAGTGGGCAGAGTTAGACAGTATACTTCACTATGTTAAGGTTTTGGCTATACAACACAATCACTACAATTCCACTTTGCTTACCTACATTCTTTATCAACTGTACTACTTTCCCAGCAATTTTTCTTCTCTCGTCTATTATGCCACACTTAATGGGCTGAAGGTTGAGCCTCCACCATTCCTTGCACATGACGACTTATGGGTTTAACATTTCATGAAATATGATATACTACTCCACTGACATGCATTTGATGAAAGCAGTCTTTAAAAAAAAAAAAAATCTAAGAAATTAGCAACAGCTTTAGTAATAAACAGACCATGTGTCATTTTTTGTAAAACATGTTTTTGGTGAGCTATTAGGTGTCAAGATTTCAAGGCATGTGATATGTCCAATAAACAATTTACCAAGACAAAGGAGCAAAGATAAAAGTTAAAGCAATTAAACTGTTTAGATTTTTTAATAAAAATACATACCATAAGTATGCACACAGGTTTTAGATATGTAGACAGTAACCACCCAGGAAGGTACTGCCATCCTGTCACGAGTGAAAACCTGTCATTTTTGCACTGGCTGTATTGCTGGTCTTGTCTCAAATGTGCAAGATGACAGGTAAATCTTGCCACTATTGTACTACTTACACCAGATAACACATCATATGTAGCTACACGTTTGTGTATACACATCTGAGCTTCCTTCTAATTTCTTAGAGAATTCTTGCTCTCTCAGCATTTCCTTTCATGCCATGGGGAAGTGAATGAGAATTCTTCCTCTGTAATCAATGTATGTGTTAGGAGACAAAAGTTGGAAGCAGGGGACTAGCAATCCATTCTGTATCAGTTACTTAGCCCTTAAACTGTAACCAATAAACTAGTACACAGGTGATGAGAATGTGTCCAATGTATTAGTATGCACAATTTTTCCTTGTCTTCAAATATGCCACCTGCCAATATTTTTGACCTCGGCTCAACTCTTTGGGTTTCCTACAACCTCTTCATTTAACACTCTCAGGGTCCATGCCGTAGTTCTACGGCTTTGAGTTGTGGTCCAAACCATAGAACTATGCCAAAATTCTAGCAGCCTCAAATTCAGTGTGAGAAGGCCGGTAGGCCTAAGTGGCCTGCGTGGTGTGCGCGCGCAGTAAAAAATTCTAGGCGCCCGCATGGCACTGTGGGAATGCCGCCTCGGTAAGCTTTGTTCACCATGCCTCGTGGCAAGGCAGCTCTCACTCCGAGGTGAAATGGGACTCTCCTCTTCCTAACTGATAATTCTGACTCTGATGGAAGTGGAAATGAAGAATTCTATGGTTTTGATCAATTAGTGACCAAAAGCAATTATCAGGATACCGAAAATAGTATGGGGAAAATCCTGACAATCCTTAACCATCTACCTCTGGCATAGGCAAGTCTCAGTCATGTTCAGTTGTACCTTGTCGCAAGAGAAAACTAACATTTTCACATGGCCAGGCTTCAGACTTGAGTAATGGTGATGATAGTGATGTGGACTTTGATTTTATTGCTCTTGATGACCATTCGAGTAGTGACAGTGATGAATCATTCACCAGTGAAGTGTCAGTATATACGCTACTGCATGCACTCAGGTAGTGTTCCATGTGCAGTGCCAAGGGGACGGAGTACATCCCATGGCCCTAAATCAGGAATGGACAGTAAAAGTGAGGATGTGGCTACACTTGGTATGGATAGACTACAGGCATCAGTAGGTGGTGGTAATGGTGGTGGTAGTGCCACAGCCATGCATGACTCACCAGCCCAGGCTGGGACCCATGCCACTGACTCATCAGATCCAGGACAAAGCGGAGCATCATCCACCGCCACACCACAACTACAACCACAACCAGCTTATGATGCCCAGTATCCACCAGCAAACCGCATCTGGGATTGGCAGCAAAGTTCCAATTTTGTTCCCAATCCCCATCAGTTTGAAGACACTCAAAGTGAAATCCTACCAGCTTGTTCCCTTGGAAACACTGCAAATGAACTGGTATTCTTTGAACTATTCTTTGACCAGCCCTTGACAGAAATTATTGTCAGGGAAAGTAACAAGTATTTTGAGTACACCATGGCAAATACGTCCATATCATCACAGTCAAGACTACACCAGTAGAAAGAGACAACTGTGGCTGAAATGAATTTTCTTTTTGCAACAATAATGTTTATGCCTTATGTCTATAAGCATAATATAAAATCACACTGATCCACAGATTTGTACCCTGGCCTTCAGTGAAATCATCCCAGTGAACACCATTTGCTGGCAGGAAAGTTGGTGCTGGCATGACAGGTCCTGGATATTTATGCATGTTCCCGAGGCAGTGCCACCTATGATGGACAGCATAGGCCCACCAGGGCCTAGATTTCTTCCCTAAGCATGAGACGACAGGTGACCCAAACAGTTGAGTAGACTCAAAATGGCAGGTGGCATACAACATATATGTTAAACAAATTTCCTGACATAAGCCATAAATCAGACACTGTTTAAGGATTAACATTTACAGGAGTATTGGTAGCTGTGACATTTACAGAGCACTGACATCACAGATCACTGCACTCACAGGCATAAAAAAATTACACAAGAATAAACAAAAATATACAACCCCAATACTCTCATACCAAGTTATAATAGCCAAGTTATAATAGCCCATACATTATTAAAACTCAAACATTCCAAGATACCTACAGGCACATAAGTAATTATAAAAATCATGATAAAGGTTAATGGCCTAAGCCAAGGTCAAACTGGTGGAAACATGAGCCACAGTTAACAGTACTGTCACAAGCTACACAGAGGGGGGTACAGGAACACCTACAAAAATATTTGTAGAAGTGGTTGTAAAAGTGAATGCTAGGATGTCTGGGAGGTATGGGATTAAAGGATAATGATCCGATACAGGCTGGGTGTTGTCACAGTTGCTCATTACTGATGACAGTTATATTGGGAGTCTGAAAAGTTAAGATTTGTGGTGGAATTTGGGAGGGTATGTAAAAGGAGGTAATTAAAAGTGAACATAGAAAAGAGCAAGATAAAAAAATATTACCAATGAACTGCATATTAGGGGATCAGATACAGAGGCAATGAACATTCAGATACTGAAGTCAACATGTTGGCAGATGGGGCTATAAAAGATGAGGGGAACCACAGAACAGATGGAGGAGGAGGGTGAGGTAGGTGGTGTTGAAGCATCTAGAGGAAAAATGGGGTATGTACCAGAGTATAATGGTACCAACACTTATATGGGTGAAAAGCATGGGCTTTAAACACTGCAGCAAGGAGAAGCTGAAAGCAGTGGAGAGGTGATGTTTGAGAGCAATGTGTGGTGTGAGTAATATGCATAGTATTCAGAACACAGAAATTAGAAGTGGGGTTATCTAAAGTATAGCTTAGAGGACTGAGGAGGGGTTAGTGATTTGGGCATTTACAGAGGTTGAAGCAGACCAAGATGGCCATAAAGGTGCTTCTTGAGTGAAAGGAGAGGTAAGGGTCATCCCAGGATGGAAGGAAGGGAGGGGGAATAAAGGAGGGCATTAGTGCTAGTAGTTTGAGCATCTAACAGGGTTGTGCAAGTGCATAATAAAGTGAATGGAGATAAGCAGTTCTTAAAGCTTTATGTGCTATTGGAGTGTGAGCAAGGTAATATTTATTAAGGGATTTAGGAAAAACCAATAGGCCAGACTTGGATCCCGGAAGTGGGAAGTACACTGCCTGTATTCTGAAGGAGGGACGGATGTTGTGATTTCTTGGGTCATTTGAACTGTTATGTCTGCACACTTCTTGTAAGAGTTACTGAACGAGTTTTTTTTTTTTTTTTTTTTTTTTTTTTTTTTTTTTTGAGGGGAGGGGGGTGCAAATCACCAGTTTAAAAGAAACAAACATACCTTTCCTTCAGCAATGACTGGATGAGATGCACCTAAAAGCATTTTTGCTGCAGCAGTGGAAAATGCATCAAAACCCAAAATTGGCAAGTATTCATGGTTGAGAGATGTATCTGCTGCAAGCTCCACTTCCACCTTCCTAACCACTGGCAACACCCATGGTTTTCCCTCATCTGTACGGTAAGCTGCCAAAGAATGTTAATTTTGTAAGCATTTAAATCGGTTTAATTTGTACAGGGATTGCACTTTTATGGAAAGGTTATTTACCAAATCGAAGGTACCTGTGTGTCAATTACTAGCACGATGAAGTTTTGCTTTGGCATTCTGCCAATAGAAAAAAGGGGACATAACCACACAAGATCAGACAAAAAATATCTGCAACAGGAATAACAAGAGGTTGGCACACTCAGCTTACACACTGAGGCCTGGGGATCAATCCCTTGGTATGGCTGGAAAACATTAGGATGTGTTTCCATAAGACACTTGCTGTCCCTCTTCACCCATAAGTAAAATGGGTACCTGGGTGTTAGTTGATGGGTGTGGGTCACATCCTGGAACAAAAGTGATCTAATTTGCCCAAAGAGATCTGCATAACAAGCAGCATTCTATATAGTAGTACATCACTGATGTCAGCTAGGCCTGTATAACTTGTATATGTACTTGTAGAAATAAAGATATTAGTACGTGTTATAGGAAATTTTTCCTCAAATAATTGTATATCAGTTCAATGAATTGCAAGATACATTTAACAAATGATTTAACCATTAGAATTTTTAAAAATTATATAAGCAAATTACTGAAGAGTACACAAGTATAAATCTGCTATCCCTATGAACCGACAACTGGAAATGGGTAATTACCTAGTTTTAGTTTTCCTCAAGAAATAAACACTTTTCTAGTAGGTCTGCATAAGTATGTTAGCTGCAAACATTCTTTACTAGATACTGTTTACATTTAACGCCCACAATTTTAAAAACATTACACAATACTAACAACCCTTAGTAATCTAGTTATTACACCTGGATGCCTTGCAAGGGTAAACTAAATACACTGGATTATGTTGAAAGGACTAGTACTGTAGAGAAATTAAATTTTTCAACATAGCCCATTCCCATGAAGGAAGAGGGACTCAAAGGGATAATTAAAATTGGCCGTTTTAGCCTGGGCAATTCAATAGTCTGCTTCAGTAAACTGAAAAATACTCATGGATCTTTGATATTTGAATATTATCCTAAGTACCATATAAACAAATATATAGTACATGTGTACTACTATGTAAAGAAAATTAATAGACCAACACCCAAAATCAAATTAACCCGAGATCCCAATTATACTGTCCTAAAGCACATTACCCCCTTAACTGCCGACACCCCCCAAAATCATGGCTTCTGTGTTACCATTTTTATTATATTTTAAAATAAAAATAAAAATACAAAATTTGATGTACTTATGGAATTATGCAAGTGGGAGGTTGGGGAACATTGATTTTCCCCCCACATTGGGACCTATTTTAGGCCAATTCCAGTGCTCAAACTGACCCAATTCCCAGCTATTTGCTAGTACGCCTTTTGTACCATTCACTAATTAAAGGAAACTGTCCATTCATCAGAAGTATACTCTGAGTGTCCAGAAGTATTTTTGGACAATTCTGTACTATTTTTGACAAAACCCAATTCAAAAACAGGTTAATTCCAGCCACTAAAGTAACATTTTCTCTGAAAAGCGAGACATGTGCAACAGTTGAGGATTTTTGTCGACAAACATTTTGCTTACTAAGCACCACCTGTTGGAAGTGAAGACTTACAATTTTGTTTTTATATTTTAATAACTTTCCTGTGACAATTTCAATAGGAATCTGCTACCGTAAAAAAAAAAATTATATTACATTCATGGGAGACATTAATCCTGTTGGCGAGTTTCATTTATGCTTCGAGTACATGTGTGCCTTCGGGGGGGCACACGTTTTGGGTGATGCTCTCTCTTCACACAGTGTCCATGGTTCGATTCCCTGCTGTCCCCGTTCGCCTAGCAAGTATATACCTGGGTGTTAGCAGACTGGTGTGGGTTGCATCCTGGGAAACAAGATTGAAGGATCCCAATGGAAATGACAGACAGGCCTCAATAACTTGCTGACTTTCTTGGGTTATTCCGGGTAATTAACTCTTTGGGTTAAAAATCTGAACAAATTCTTCTCTATCTTGAAATGTACAGCAAGTTTATTTAGGCACAGGTACACAAGTACAATTATCATACAAAATGATAATTACCCAAGATAACCCCAAAAAAGTCAGTGACATTTTTATTGGGGTATATTATGTAGGTCTTCTTTGTAATTAATATTTTATATGTAAACCACACATTGTAAGCTTTGCAAGGAAATAAACATTTTCATTTTCAAAATACAGCGCATGATGAAAAAGAAGGCAGTCTGGTTCGATCCAAGGAAGGGGAGGTCTGGTTCAAGTTGACACACAACACATCACCGGCATCGGGGAGTCTCCCTTCAGGGGCAGAGTATTTATAGATTTTTCCTTAAGAGTCGAACACTTACTAAAATGTTTTATATTGGAGAGCTGCGGATATGAACTAAGTAGCTTAGAAAACTAGTGAACACCACAGCAACTGGTCAGTAAAGTAATGGGTGACCTGGGCCTAGCTAATGGTTGCCAGACCCTTAAGGTTGGGCGGAGACCAACAACGAAATGTATTATATATATATATAAAAAGAAACAAATAAATAATAATAAGAAGAGCAACTGGTAACTGACCTCCAACACTGAGGTTAACCTTCTTCTGGTGAGTGCTGTCACTGAAGGCCTTACTGACGGCGAACACCTCAATAGGAGCACCTTGCTGCACCTCTGCAAAACGACTGGTTGCCATGACTATGATGAAGGTGAAGTGAAGTATGCTACCTCCTGGACGTCAGCTGCAACACTGCCATCACTAACACTTTCCACCTCCATCACTAAACAAACTGCCATCATTCACCACCAACATATTTGAATATTCAAGACAATAATGCCTTTACAATCTCCAATTTCATTATATACCCCACTAAACAAAACAAAAATACTATATATTATTAACAATAAACTCAACAGTGTGAAATATATATTTAAATGTTCTGCTGGCAACTTTGGCATTCTGCTGCAGCCATATTCCTTCCTTCGTATAGTTCTTATTTCGAAAAAAATGTCATTTATTCTTAAATTATAAACATCAGGAAAATAAATATCAATTATACGTTGTTTAATTATATGTACGGTGCAAAATACATCATAAAAAAAATTCTGCAAATTTATTTGATACAGTAGTTATTGACATATTTTTTATGTGTAAGAATGAGGTTGCATTCCATGCGTTGCAAGTTGACAAATTCTTGGCAAAAATTTACTTTTTCAGTTTTGAAAAAAGTAGAGAAATAAATCAGGAAACGGCCTGAGTTATATGACTAAACACCAGTTACCTGGACATGAGTGACACCTGCATGAGTGACACCTGCATGAGTGACACCTGCATGACTGACACCTGCATGACTGACACCTGCATGAGTGACACGTTCATAAGTTACACCTGCATGAGTAACACCTGCGTGACACCTGCATGAGTGACACCTGCATGAGTAACACCTGCGTGACACCTGCATGAGTGACACCTGCATGACACCTGCATGAGTAACACCTGCGTGATTGACACCTGCATGAGTGACACCTTCATGAGTGATACCTGCAGGAGTGACACCTGCATGAGTGACACCTGCATGAGTGACACCTGCATGAGTGGCACCTGCATGAGTGGCACCTTCATGAGTGACACCTGCATGAGTGACACCTGCATGAGTGACACCTGCATGATTGACACCTGCATGAGTGGCACCTGCATGAGTGACACCTTCATGAGCGACACCTGCATGAGTGACACCTGCATGAGTGACACCTGCATGATTGACACCTGCATGAGTGACACCTGCATGAGTGGCACCTGCATGAGTGACACCTTCATGAGTGACACCTGCATGAGTGACACCTGCATGAGTGACACCTGCATGAGTGACACCTGCATGACTGACACCTGCATGAGTGACACCTGAATGAGTGACATCTGCATGAGTGACACCTTCAAGAGTGACACCTTCATGAGTGACATCTGCATGAGTGACACCTTCATGAGTGACACCTGCATGAGTGACACCTGCATGACTGACACCTTCATGAGTGACATCTGCATGAGTGACACCTTCATGAGTGACACCTGCATGAGTGACACCTGCATGACTGACACCTGCATGAGTGACACCTGCATGAGTGACACCTGCATGACTGACACCTGCATGAGTGACACCTGCATGAGTGACACCTTCATGAGTGACACCTGCATGAGTGACACCTGCATGACTGACACCTGCATGAGTGACACCTGCATGAGTGACACCTTCATGAGTGACACCTGCATGAGTGACACCTGAATGAGTGACATCTGCATGAGTGACACCTTCAAGAGTGACACCTTCATGAGTGACATCTGCATGACACCTTCATGAGTGACACCTGCATGACACCTTCATGAGTGACACCTGCATGAGTGACACCTGCATGAGTGACAACTGCATGAGTGACACCTTCATGAGTGACACCTGCATGAGTGACACCTACATGAGTGACACCTTCATGAGTGACACCTGCATGAGTGACACCTGCATGAGTGACACCTGCATGAGTAACACCTGCATGAGTGACACCTGCATGAGTGACACCTTCATGAGTGACACCTGCATAAGTGACACGTTCATAAGTGACACCTGCATGAGTAACACCTGCATGAGTGACACCTGCATGAATAACACCTGCGTGACACCTGCATGAGTGACACCTGCATGACACCTGCATGAGTGACACCTGCATGAGTGACACCTGCATGAGTGACACCTGCATGAGTGACACCTGCATGAGTGACACCTGCATGAGTGACACCTTCATGAGTGACACCCTCATTAGTAACACCTGCATGAGTGACACCTTCATGAGTAACACCTGCATGACACCTTCATGAGTAACACCTGCATGAGTGACACCTGCATGAGTGACACCTGCATGAATGACACCTTCATGAGTGACACCTGCATGAGTGACACCTGCATGAGTGACACCTTCATGAGTGACACCTTCATGAGTGACACCTTCATGAGTAACACCTGCATGAGTGACAGCTTCATGAGTGACACCTTCATGAGTGACACCTGCATGAGTAACACCTGCATGAGTGACACCTTCATGAGTAACACCTGCATGAGTGACAAGTGCATGAGTGACACCTGCATGAATGACACCTTCATGAGTGACACCTGCATGAGTGACACCTGCATGAGTAACACCTGCATGAGTGACACCTTCATGAGTGACACCTGCATGAATGACACCTTCATGAGTGACACCATGAGTAACACCTGCATGAGTGACAAGTGCATGAGTGACACCTGCATGAATGACATCTGCATGAGTGACACCTTCATGAGTAACACTTGCATGAGTGACACCTTCATGAGTGACACTCTCATGAGTGACACCTTCATGAGTGACACCTTCATGAGTAACACCTGCATGAGTGGCACCTGCATGAGTGACACCTGCGTGAATGACACCTTCATGAGTGACACCATGAGTAACACCTGCATGAGTAACACCTGCATGAGTGACACCTGCATGAGTGACACCTGCTTAAGTAACAATTTCATGAGTAACACCTACATGAGTAACACCTTCATGAGTGACACATACATGAGTGACACCTGCATGAGTGACACCTGCATGAGTGACACCTGCATGACACCTGCATGAGTGACACTTGCATGAGTGACACCTAAATGAGTGACACCTGCATGAGTAACACGTGCATGAGTAACACCTGCATGACTGACATCATGAATGACACCTCCATGAGTGACACCTTTATGAGTGACACCTTCATTAGTGACACCTGCATGAGTGACACCTTTATGAGTGACACCTGCATGAGTGACACCTGCATTAGTGACACTTTCATGAGTGACACCTGCATGAGTGACACCTGCATGAGTGACACCTGCATGAGGGACACCTGCATGAGTGACACCTGCATGAGGGACACCTGCATGAGTGACACCTGCATGTGGGACACCTTCATGAGTGACACCTGCATGAGACACCTGCATAAGTGACACCTGCATGAGTAACACCTGCATGAGTGGCATCTGCACGAGTGACACCTGCATGAGTGACACCTGCATGAGTGATACCTGCATGAGTGACACCTTCATGAGTGACACCTGCATGAGTGACACCTGCATGAGTGACACCTGCATGTGGGACACCTTCATGAGTGACACCTGCATGAGGGACACCTGCATGAGTGACACCTGCATGTGGGACACCTTCATGAGTGACACCTGCATGAGTGACACCTGCATGAGTGATACCTGCATGAGTGACACCTTCATGAGTGACACCTGCATGAGGGACACCTGCATGAGTGACACCTGCATGTGGGACACCTTCATGAGTGACACCTGCATGAGACACCTGCATAAGTGACACCTGCATGAGTAACACCTGCATGAGTGGCATCTGCACGAGTGACACCTGCATGAGTGACACCTGCATGAGTGACACCTGCATGAGGGACACCTGCATGAGTGACACCTGCATGAGTGACACCTGCATGAGTGACACCTGCATGAGGGACACCTGCATGAGTGACACCTGCATGAGTGACACCTGCATGAGTGACACCTGCATGAGTGACACCTGCATGAGGGACACCTGCATGAGTGACACCTGCATGACTGACACCTGCACCAGGACAGACTTGTCCTGTTTCCTAACCAATAAAACACCAAAAATACCATCACTTCCCGACTAAATAAGGACTATTGTGACATCCTTAGGTGAGTAAAAACTCATGGCTACATATTCAGAATTGAGCTCCAGCTCTTGAGCATGACTTGTGCTAAACTGGCCTGATTTTATAATCACGTCTATTTTTTTTTCATGAGTATGGAATCAATCTCATATATTGTTTTACTTTTTTTACAATCTATATAGTGTAAAAATGCTTTAATATCTCACTTGTAAACCATTTGGGTGAACAGCTTTATTCTTGTTCCCATCACTTGAATTTGTCTGCTATAAGGCTGGTAGATAGTAACCACCCAGGGTAGTACTACCGTCGTGTGGTAGGTTGGTAGATAGTAACCACCCAGGGTGGTACTACCGTCATGTGGTAGTAGGTTGGTAGATAGTAACCACCCAGGGTGGTACTACCGTCATGTGGTAGTAGGTTGGTAGACAGCAACCACCCAGGATGGTACTACCGTCATGTGGTAGTAGGTTGGTAAATAGTAACCACCCAGGGTGGTACTACCGTCATGTGGTAGTAGGTTGGTAGATAGTAACCACCCAGGGTGGTACTACCGTCATGTGGTAGTAGGTTGGTAGACAGTAACCACCCAGGGTGGTACTACCGTCATGTGGTAGTAGGTTGGTAGACAGCAACCATCCAGGGTGGTACTACCATCATGTGGTAGTAGGTTGGTAGACAGCAACCACCCAGGGTGGTACTACCATCATGTGGTAGTAGGTTGGTAGACAGCAACCACCCAGGGTGGTACTACCATCATGTGGTAGTAGGTTGGTAGACGGCACCCACCCAGGGTGGTACTACCATCATGTGGTAGTAGGTTGGTAGGCAGCACCCACTCAGGGTGGTACTACCGTCCTGTGGTAGTAGGTTGGTAGACAGCAACCACCCAAGTGGTACTACCGTCCTGTGGTAGTAGGTTGGTAGATAGTAACCACCCAGGGTAGCACTACCGTCATGTGGTAGTAGGTTGGTAGATAGTAACCACCCAGGGTGGTACTACCGTCATGTGGTAGTAGGTTGGTAGACAGTAACCACCCAGGGTGGTACTACCGTCATGTGGTAGTAGGTTGGTAGACAGCAACCATCCAGGGTGGTACTACCATCATGTGGTATTAGGTTGGTAGACAGCAACCACCCAGGGTGGTACTACCATCATGTGGTAGTAGGTTGGTAGACAGCAACCACCCAGGGTGGTACTACCATCATGTGGTAGTAG